GCGTGCCGGGTGCAGGGTCGGCTAGCTGGTTGCTGGCAGGCTTGCACCTGGCACGGGCACCGTAGCCAGCCCGTGCCCCTTTAAGGGGTCTGGGGCTGGGAGGGGGGCATAGAGTTTCCCTGGTGTTGGCCAGAGTGGCGACCAGGGAAACCTGGGGAGGGCTAGCCTCCCAGTAGTTCGAATTAAGGGGCTACACACCCCTTAATTCGAACTAGCTAGTTCGAACTAGGCTTAATCCTCGAACTAGGAAAACCTCATTTTACGAACTAAGCGCTCCGTTAGTTCAAATTAAGTTCGAACTAGTGGAGCGCTAGTGTAGCGCCTATGAAAGTTAGTTCGAACTAACGTCCGTTAGTTCGAAGTAACTCTGTAGTGTAGACATACCCCTTCTGATCTATGAATATTGTTTCCCTCTTCCTCTCGGAGAGAGAATATTTTAGGCATCATAATTTTAAATATTTTCTGGATGTCAGGTCATTAATTCTATTCTAAGAACTGGGCCATTCAATTCTTTTTGTGAGCCATTATAATTTTAAGATAAATATTTTAAGAAAGAATACAATTGAAAAAAACCCAGAACTTTGTACAATGCAATCTGAGGCTCCACAATGAAGGTAGTTAGAAACAGCTGAAATACTAACATAAAATAACAATGCTAAGTACTTAAATCACATCCTCCACCAGAGGATCTCAAAAAGCTTTAAAAAAATAATTGAGCCCCACAACAACCCTGTGAGGTAGGTGAGCATTGTTCCACCTATTTTACAGATGGATAAACTGAGACAAAAAATGGAAAAGCGACTTATACAAGGTCACTGACAGTTTTGCTACTGTTCAGTATCAACCGTACAGCTGCAGTGGAAAAAAAATACCAGCCAACCTGGAGTTCTGATTCTATTCCAGCTTGCTCTAACCACTAGAAACTCATCCTTCCTAACAGGACACGCAAACCATGTGCTCTGATAAATGTTGGTTTAACTAAGTTTAAGGCAATGCAAATGAAGTAGGATAGATATGAAATGCAACAGAAACCATGCAGTGAATCTCAATTTTCAGATCATGGTTTATAAATGATTATCTGAAATCTGTTACATTTTCCTTAGAAATTTAACAAAGGCTTGAGCATATTTAAATCCACTATTCTGGGGCAGCAATGTCAGAGTTTAAAACAATACATGTTTTATTTACAACATTATTTCAGAGTAGTAAATGCCAAGGCATCAACAGAATTTGTAAATCAGTGATTACTAAAGACATCCAGTCTTTGGAAACAAAACTGAAGTGGTAACATTTACAAATAAAATGTGAAGTTATACTATTCAGTATATCTGAAAGTGATTACAGTTCATTCTTGTATTATATTCCCTGAACCTCAAGAAAGTATATCAGCTGAGAAACTTGGAAATCTATGCAGTGAACCCAAGTATACAGAGATCCTATACAATTATGCATGTTGGGTATGATCAGATAAACTCAGGCATTTATGCCCGTCAATGATGATCATCAATTGAAATCTAACTCTTTAAAAATGTTTACATCTGTAACAAAGCATGGAATTTTTCCCCTTTAATTTTGATGTAAATGTACCACAATTTAGCGAATATACTCCACACCTAAATATAACCTGCACCCGGATATACCCTGCGGTTTTTTCTATTTCAGTAAAAAAAATCTTGTATATCCTGCACACGAGTATAACCTGTAGGGTATACAAGGCTTTTCTGTGCCAGGGGTATATTTGCTAATTTACGGTGCAGAGGGGGAGGGGGAAGGGAATTAGCCAGCCAACCACTCACCGCCCCAGTTCCTCCGCAGCTGCAGAAGGGCTGGGGGATCAGAAACCACCATCCTCTGGGCAGGGGAGCGCTCACCACCCGGTTCCTGCACAGCCACAAGAACCACCATCTTCTGGGCAGGGGAGTGCTCACTCTCCTCTCCCCCGTTCATGCACAGCTGCAGGAACCACCAGCCTCCGGTGAGTAAAAAAACCCAAACAAAAACAAAAAAAACCAGCTGGTGAATTAAAAAAAAAACCTATATACCCCTCTGGGGTGGAGGGGTGTGTGTGGGGTATGTAAAAACAAATATAACCCACGGGTTATATTCACTAAATTATGGTAGTGCTCTGTAAAAGCGTCAGCGACACATGTTGGGAGAGAAGTTTTCTATCAACGGCATCACAGATTCCCAACACTGCCTTATCACAGTGCTTTTACCCTGACCTAAAAAGGCTACTTCTAAGAATGAAAGGGTAGGTTTATCTTTACCTCAATACCTCAGATACTATAAAGGCGTCCTACTATACTAAGGCCCCTATGCAATTCCTCAGATTCTGTACTAAGGCCCCATGTAACAGAGAATTTTTATTCATTACACGGTTACTATTTTAATACTTTTTTTTACATCCCTAGTGCAGAACTGATAACCCAGGCAAATTGGGGTCTGTTTTGCCCCCGGAACAATTAGCTCTCTAATGCTACTACCACATCTGTCCTGTGCAGATCAGACTGAAGAAAAAGGGACAGAATTCAAGCCTCCCTACACTACCTTGGCAACATGCCTTAGATTTGGAAAAAGTAGTCATTCCTCCAATGGGACAAGCCTATTAATCTAACATCAAAATGATGATTCAGGACAGTATGAGTTAATACTTAACTTGAAATCAGGGTGCTTTCCTAATTCAGTCTTCTGCGACAAGGACACATCCTCTAGGAGCAGGACTGAGACTGTAACCTCAATTACACACTGAAACCAAGGTTGACCAATGGAGACGAGTTAAAATATGCCTACCCCATTAATAAACTCTTATATATCATTCAGCCATCCTTTGCTATTTCAGAATAGCTAAGGAAAAATTAAAAAAAAACAATTAATCTCAGGATTTCGTCATTAAAGTACTGAATTGTACAACTGTCATGCAAAATTAAGGATATAACATACAACTAATGTTGGGTTGGAACCAGACTGCCATCTTCAAACAAAAACAACTTCTGGATTTCATGCAAGCATTTTTCATTTAGCCAGTTTGAAATACTAATTTAAAAAAAAAAATCAAGAATATTGAGGTTGGACAAAGGAGAAAATTTTTGAGAAGTATTTATGTGATTTAGGAATCGATTTCCCATTTTCAAAAGTGTCTTACATTCTTAGGAGTTTAAAGATCACTGATAGTCAATGGGCTTTTGAAAATTTTACATTCTAATGTTTCTGTTCAAAGATTAAATATGCAGACTAAAACTTAACATAGAACAAACCCCGCCCCCCCCAAAAAAGTGGTTTTTTAAAATTTTTGTTTGTTTTTTTACTGTATCTGCTGTTCTGTTTTGTGGCCTGAATCCTGCTATGTCTTAGGTGGTGAGCTTCCACATATACACATCATTGCATCGCTTCCTATTTTATTGTATCTTTAGGTTTTCAAATACAGCTTAACTTCCATTTTAACGCTCTGCAGAATAGTGTGTTCTCCACTTGGGGTATGTCTAGACTACAGAGTTTTTTCGAAAAAAGTGGCCTTTTTTCGAAAAAACTTCACCTGCATCTAGACTGCCATTGTGTTCTTTTGAAATTAAAATCGAAAGAACACAGTGGTTTTTTTTGACAGCGGTAAACCTCATTTTCGAGGAAGAATGCCTTTTTTCGAAAGAGCTTTTTCAAAAAAAGGCATTCTTGAATGCAAGCAGGGTTTTTTCGGAAGAGAGCATCCCGATTGCCAGGATGCTCTCTTTAAAAAAAACGGATCACTTTTTGAAAGTTGCGTGGCTGTCTAGACGATCTCTCTCGAAAAAAATCTAGACATACCCTTGGACACAGACCTGTACCACATTTCATGATCACAGTCATAACAACATTAAATGTTTGTCAAATTATTTTGCTAGTTTTCCATTTACAAAGGGGTCTCGTTACCGTTTTCCACAAAATGTTGCAGAACAGTAACTTCTGCATATTAACAATATGTTGATTTGGGCATTTTACTACCCTGGAAACTTGCAACATTGTAAATTACACACAAAGAAGAAGTAATGTAATGTCAGAACAAAATCTAATCTTTATAGAGAAATTTGTTTTTTCTTCTCACAGTATGATTAGTAACAGCACACATGAATGATATGATATAAACTTTGAAAAATGGACTATATACTGTAACTATTAGATCTTTCACAAACACCCCAGATATTTTTATTATGGACTATGAAGTTTCGTTAAAACGAAACATTTGCTGAACTGACAATCTGCTGATAAGCAAAACAAATCCTGTAATTTTTTTCCCCAAATATATGCTTTTAAGACAAAAGTGAATTATCTTGAACTTCCAAATATTCAAAAGCACAGATATTTACACATTTGGTTTAATCAGGATTTTTTAATATATAAATAAAAAAGATTCAGATACCTGGATTAAAAGTTAAGTAGCCCTGTAAGTTTAGCAGACTCCTTAACAGCAAAAAATTAACCCTTCAGAAAAACCTCTGGTGATTCAATCATAAGCAATACCAATTAGATGTTTTTAAAAGAACCTTGATTAGGTAGCAAGTTTGTGACACCACTCAACCTTACACTGTTGATAGATTTTTTTTTAAATGTAGTTTTTGATCAAATAATCAACATGTAAGACTTCCTAAAATTCCTGGAAGGCAGAAATTCCAGCTGTATTCTCCCCAAAATTCAAGAAAGGCATATGATAGCTAATATGCACCTTAATGATTTCCATTATCCTTGGAAAAATAAGTACTAAAAAGGTTTTTTGCCACAGCAATATTAATAAAAACACAGTTGTAATAAACAGATATATTAAAGCCACATTTAAACAATAGGTGACTTAAACAGGAATATGAATAAGACACCTCATTTTGATGCAAACATATATGTGAAAAAGTTAGATTTGATTTATTTTTAGGTTGTTTTGCTGATGTAACAGCACAATTCCTAGTTCACCAAGACAGCCTTTATAAGGCAACATGAAAGAATATCTTCACCTCTTAATTTCAGATACTTATCTTGTTCCACAACATCCTCTAAACTTCTGACTTGCCTTCCACTACCTTACTTGACTACTGGTACTTGGTCTATGTAAATGTACTGACAACAGTTCGCGGAATCATGGCACTGTCATGGAAAAACAGAATGGGGGGAGTAAGGCTACAACATAAGTGCAAGAGGGAGACAAAATGTGTGAGAGATGAGTCCCATCTTCTCATGATCTAGGTAGGCAGAGGGTCATCATCTCCTTTATTACATTTGCATTTGCAGCAAAGGACAAATGGTGTAGCAAGTAAAAGGAAAGGTGAAGCCACTAACAACAGTAGACCAAATCCTGCAAAGATTCCCACCACCTGAAAAAAAAAAATGGAAAATGACATGTCAGTATGATAATTGGCACAGCAGGTTCAAATTCTACTCCAACACAAAGTCAATGCCCTAGGAGAGAAATCTTGGCCCTTCTGAAGTCCATGGCAAGGTGCCTATTGACTTCAAGAGAGCCAGGATTTCACCATAGTTGCACATCACAGAAGATTTGCGTGCTAAACATCTATCTATAGTTGGCAAGGTGATTGCTAATTTTCAGAATGGGAGAATGGTAGCAGACTCTCATCTTGAGAAAATAGTTACCAGAGGGCAATGGTCCTTTTTCACTATATCAGTCAGAATTCACACCATGCCACCTACAAATTTTAACATTGCGTACATGCATGCATTCACACACCCTAGATAAAGCAGATATTAATTGGCACTGAACAAAAAAGACAGGGGTAGCTTTGTTATGTCTCCTGCACCAAACCACTCGTCTTCTTCAATGCAAGTGGATAGTTTTACCTTTCTTTCTTCCTTTCTTTCTCTCTCCATAAAATGTGAATTTTAAGCCTGTAGTATCTGTGATGTTTGAAGAACTCGGCTGCTGAGGGCAAACATGCTTACATTAGGGAAGTTCCACTTACAGATACTTACAGGTATTGTTTTCCTTTCAGAGAGCAAATATTTGGCCTCAAACTATTCAAAATTCAGCATGAAGCCATCTTAAATATTTTTATAGTACCTAACACTACACAAGTAGTTATCTGAAACACTGATTGACATTTTAATGTAGTCACATGTTGTTTGCATGCAGTAACCAGCCATTTAAAGTTCTCTTGAAAGAAGATTTGAAATCTTTATACAGCAGAGGTTGCTAAGCACCACCTGTGCCAACATATCTAGTATTTGAGTTTCTTTATCTTTCTTCTGCCACTGAAATAACCGAATACAATTACTTTTACAGCTGATAGGAAAGGGGAAGGTGTTTATGTTCTATCAAGGAGCAGTCTCTGGGACTCTGGTTGCCAAACTTTGTCTCAGCTTCTGGCTAGCAGGTACAGAATAAATTTGATCACCCTCCCTCTTCTCTGTTGCTGGAAAGGAGGAGGAGTATTGTCTTCCTTCTGGCTTCTTCCTCCAAACCCTGAGCTTCCTGTCAACTATTAGAATGGCAGTCTACGTGTACGTCTAGACTACATGCCTCTGTCGCCAGAGGCATGTAGATTAGGCTACCAGACATAGGAAAATGAAGCGGCGATTTAAATAATCGCCGCTTCATTTAAATTTACATGGCTGCCGCGCTGAGCCGACAAACAGCTGATCAGCTGTTTGTCGGCTCAGTGCGATAGTCTGGACGCGCGGGTGGCGACATCAAAGGTATTTGTCGACCACCCAGGTATGCCTCCTGGGATGAGGAGCTGATCAGCTGTTTGTCGGCTCAGCGCGGCAGCCATGTAAATTTAAATGAAGCGGCGATTATTTAAATCGCTGCTTCATTTTCCTATGTCTGGTAGCCTAATCTACATGCCTTTGGCGACAGAGGCATGTAGTCTAGACGTACCCTACTTCTTCCTCAGCTTCCAGGCTGCTGCAAGGTGCTGGGTGGTTCAATCTCTCTCAAAGTCTCCTTTTATGAGTCTCTCTCAATGAGTAGCTCTAGTACCTGCAGCTGCACAAAAGTGTTCAGAGCAGAGCAGAGTGAAACTGACCTATTTCTCATCAGTTTCACAGATGCCCACAACCTTCTCAATAGCAGTACTTAAAATCAGTATATCAGGAAAGCTCTGAACTAGGGAGTTGCTTGGCCTAATTTTTAAGCCAGATCAAGAAGCAATCTGCCTGACCTGAGCTTGAGAAAGTCAAGTTGTTTTTCAAGACAAATCAACATTGTCACGACTGTTGGTGCCTCCAGTCTATGGGATCAGCACAGCTGCTGTTAGCCTCACTCTTGCAGCTGCTGCACTCTTCTGCACCATGTGCTTTGCAGAGTGAGGTGCGCGGTGTCTCAGTGGTACACTCACACCACTGCAGACACTGCAATAAGTCAGCAGTAGCAGCGGGACCAACGGGCAGAAGCTAATCAGCAGTGACTTAACACAACTGAACCTTAGGATTAGGGTTTTTTTTGGATCCACATAATCTCAATCCAAAACATGTATTTTGGGTTGGGGTGGCTGGGTTGAGCAGCAGAAGCACTGAACGCTTAAGCAAGGCAACTCTGCATTGGTTTCCACTCGTTTCACATTTGTAAGGTTATACTGTTTTAAGTTGATGCTAACTGCCCATGAAAGCTTCTTACTTGGCCTAAGCAAATGAGCGTGTCGATTTTGGAAGGCCTGTTTGCTACCACAGGCCTGCAAGTTATTTAACAAACCCACTGAGATTTTTTTTCACAGAAAAATGAATTGTGAATAATGAATACTGGGGAAAAATCATCTGCACACGAACAATTGCCATTTGAATACAAGGGCTCCCTAAGCATTACAGTAATACCAACTGTAACACTAAGTATCATATTATTCATTAGAACTTCTCCTAGCTGTCGTCAGATACTAAACACACCAATTAATTTGCAACACTGAATTTGTCATAATGTAGAAAATATATTCTACACCTAAATTAACAGGCTTATTGATGCCTCCTCTAACAGGAAGTATTTTTTTATGAACACTGTGGATTTCTTTTTGCAGTTTCATTCATACAGTTATTTTTAATTCTGGGTCTGAAAATATTGTGTCCAGCAGGTGGTGCTGCTGAACAAAATTAAGTTTGAGAAGTGATGTGCACACTGATTTATTATGTAATATTAGACAAGAATATTTATTTCTAATTAAAAAGCTCGGCTGCAGCTCTCTTGGGAGATAAATCTATAATTTCTGTCACAATATTTTTATTTTTGCCAAAAACAATTACTTTAAAATATGCACCTTTCATCACATATACCTGTTAGACAGGCAGCTAATCTGATGCATCTGTGTTTAGTGTCTCTGGGGCATCTGCTGGCACCAAAGAGTGAAAGTGAAGCCAGGCACTTTCCTGAGCTTCTTTTCAATGTTACTGAACTGCGGCCCACAGTGATTTCTGGAGATAGCACATACATAATTAGCCATGTGCAATCTTCTCAGTGTGCACTATGGGGCACCATTCGCTGAGGAGAGCCAAGGTTAAACTGAAAAATACAGTAGACAGACCAACAGTGCTCTTTACAATTAGGAAGCCAGCTTACATTTCCATTTCATCCTAGATATGCCAGACAGTGAATTTATCCAGGATTTTTAAGATCAGGTCAACAGGTTGCCCGGTAAGCATCCGTGATATATTTTCCACTTGGTGAACTCAACTGCTATTGAAGAATAGGCTATTTCTTAGCAAGTGTAATGTCTAGAAGTGATTTTTTGCACTGGAAGCACAACACTTAGCATTAAAGCATCATGCTTTTCACTTAAGAGGTTGTGTCATGCTCCACTTGGTTAATATTCCAAGAAGAAGTAATAAAAGGACCCCAATCCTGTAAATAAGAGCGATCATAGTCCTCATTCATCTGGTGGCTTCAGTGGAAATTCTCTGGATAGTGTTTGCAGGATTAGATCCCCGAATGTTCAAAATCACTCGTATTTCTCTTTTCCTCTCTCACGGTGGGACATACATGGTACGTGCAACCTCCCCTCTACTTCAAGGTTAACTGTTCTTGCTAAGCATACATACCATATACTCTGGCTCCAGAGGATATATTGGTAAGTAGTGTGAAATCTGGATTTTGGGGGAATCCATGCCACAGGGTTTTCAAACTGGATTCTATGGGCATCCCAAGGCCTATTTTTGACCCTAAAGAAAAAGCTCTGGGCAAACTAAAGAATGTCAAAATTCCCCAAATGTGATATTGAGTATAACAACTCTTGTAGTACAAACACCTGCTAACTGAACGACACATTTCTTGATACCTCAATTTTTCTAATTAGCAATGCCAGAAACATCAGTCATCTAACTAATTACACCAAAGCACAGTATAGCAATCCTTATAATCATAAAACACTAGAACTAGAAGGGTCCTTGAGAGGTCATCAAGTCCAGGTCCCTGCCCCCATGGCAAGGACAAAGCACCATCTACCATCCCTGATAGATGTCCATCTAACCAGCTCTTAAATATGGAGATTCCACAACCTCCCTAGGCAATTTATTCTAGTGTTCTAATGTCCAACCTTAACCACACTCTAATGTCCAATCTTAATCACCCTTGTTGCAATTTAAGCCCATTGCTTCTTGTCCTATCCTCAGATGCCAAGGAGAACAATTTTTCTCCCTCCTCCTTGTAACATGCTTTTGGTTACTTGAAAACTGCTATCACGTCCCCTCTCAGTCTTCTCTTTTCTCAACTAAACAAGCCCAATTCTTTCAGTCTTCCCTCATTGCTCATGTTCTCTAGACCTTGAATTATTCTTGTTCCTCTTCTCTGGTCCTTCTCCAATTTCTCCACATCTTTTTTGAAATGTGGTGCCAAGAACTGGACACAATATTCCAACTGACGCCTAATCAGTGCAGAGTAGAGCGGAAGAATGACTTCTTGTGTCTTGCTCACAACACTCCTGTTAATGCATCCTAGAATCATGTTTGCTTTTTCTAAAACAGCATCACACTCTTGACTCATATTTAGCTTGTGGTCCACTATGACGCCTAGATCGCTTTCTGCAGTACTCCTTCCTAGACAGTCACTTCCCATTTTGTATATGTGAAACTGATTGTTCCTTCCTAAGCGGAGTACTTTTATTTGTCCTTATTAAACTTCATCCTATTTACCGAAGATCACTTCTCCAGTTTGTCCAGATCATTTTGAAAATGACCCTATCCTCCAAAACAGTTGCAACCCTTCCCAGCCTAGTATGATCTGCAAACTTAATAAGTACACTTTCTATGCCATCATCTAAATCACTGATGAAGACACCGAACAGAACTGGTCCCAAAACAGATCCCTGTGAAACCACACTTGTTATGTCCTTCATGCATAACTGTGAACCGTTAATAACTACTCTCTGAAAATGGTTATCCAGCCAATTATGCACCCACCTTACAGTAGCCCCATTTAAGTTGTATTTGCCTAGTTTATTGATAAGAAGGTCATGCGAGACTGTATCAAATGACTTACAAAAGGCTAGGTATACCATGTCTACAGCTTCTCCCTTGTTATCCTATCAAAGAATGATGGAGGAAATAGACATGGGCAAATATTTGTAACAAGAGTTCTTTTCATTCAGTATCTGCCTATTTAGAGTTCATTACATTTCAGCAAATTTGGGGCAAGTTTACAAATCCTTTTTTGTGTCAGCTGTTTTCTACTCTGTAAAAAATATAAAAGCTACTTTCACTGACGCATTTTCCCTATGATGAGAGAGGATAATGTGCTGAGCTGCCTTGTGTTTCTAGCCCTGTGGTAATTCACAAGTTCAAGCTCTAGTCCCAGCATGATGTAGAACTGTCTCTTCTTTTTCCCTGAAGGTTTGCTGGGCCCCCAACTCACATGTTAAATCGTCCATGCTTCTTAAAGCTAGTGCAAAAAAGAGGGTACCTCACCAAGGTAACTTGTTGTCTTCTTCATTGGGAAATAGGGAGAGACTGAAATCTGAAGCAGGTGAAAAATGGGAACAGGGAACAAAAATCCTTGGTTCTTTACTGCTCGACTGGCACCGGATGAGGGACTCAACATAGAGTCCATGCAGACTCACCCAGCTAGGGACAACTTTATTCTAATAAATTCAACCAGTCTTACTTAAGACAGACATGTCAGTTCAGAGTCAAAATCCAGGAAGAAGTCTGACTTTGTATTGTTTCTTATTAATGTCCATTCTTATACCACAATATCCTTCCCTGAACTATTGATGGTTAAGATACTTTAGGGAAAGTCTACATTGCCACTTTACTGTGTTGTAACTTTCTTGCTCAGGCGTGTGAAAAAACATATCCCAAGCACAGCAAGTTATAACGCTGTAGAGTGCCAGTGTAAACGGGCTCCTATAGCCGAGAGCCGGGCTCCTGGTTAGGGACGTAAGCAACTAGTCAAGTGACTACTCGACTACTCGCTTTCCCTCCCTCCTTGCTGCGTCTGGAGCAGGGAAAAACAGGAGCCAGTTTTGGGAGGAGCTGGCTGAAAAGCCAGTTCCCCCCAGCACCATCTCTGCAGTGCACGGGAGAGGGTGGGTGGTAGGTGACGCAGAGCCAAGGTGGTCCCGGAGCTGGTGTGAGCCTGGACTGCTCAGTCCGAGCTCGTGCCGACCCTGGGAGCTAATCCCGTTGCTATCCCAGAGCTGGCGCCCATCTCCTGCTACATTTAAACTGTAGAGTATAGCAGGGGGTAGGTCCTGGAACCAGCGCAAGCTGGGACTGAGCACCTCCCCTTATCGACTAATCATGTAGTTGACACAATTTGTATCAACTACACAATTGGCGAATTACTCTCTTCTTAATATCCTTATGTAGTCCAAGGTCCAGTGTGTTTCAGCAGCAGCCCTGGGAACTACAAGTTGGACTACAAATTGCGGCATGTTGGGAGAACTTCCTGGTTCCTGCCAGGATGTGCCCTCTGCCCCCAGCAGGGTCTCAGCAAGGACTGTGCTAGAAGCAGCACACAGGCTGCATGCTGAGAGAAGGGGCTGCTGAACTGTTTTCCTGTTCTATGTTTTTTACAGAATAAAGCCTGTTCCTGGTGATTTGTCGGAGTGGGTCTGGTCTGAGGTGCACTCACACATACACAACGCAGAGCACACCAAGCAGCCTCAGGCCTCCCCCCCCACACACAGTGGTGTAAGAAGTCACAAGCTTCCCCTATACTGAATAACTTCACACTGGGCTAGCCAACAGGAGGGGTTACACTTACCCTCAGTGATGTTAACTACGCCCCTCGTTTAGACAGATGGTTTACATAGAACAATGGGAGAGCTCTCTTCCAATGCTTTGCTATAATCATACATTCATTTTAAAGTGTTGCCGCAGGCAGGCAGCCCATATCTATTTCTTCCATCAATGTAAGGATTGCTACACCGTGCAATTAGTTACATGTTGCTGGCATTGCTAATTAGGAAAACCAAGGTGTCAAGTGCTTAACATATTAAAATGTAGACATTGCCTTAAGCTTCACATGCTTGCTTTGATCTCTATGTAGATAGAACTTAGAGAAACCATTTTACTGTGAACTTGTATGAAATTTTAAAAGGTTCTGCACCTACTTGTGTTCTGTGCCAGATAACAGATGCCCTGGAGTGACCTAACTTGTTTCGACAAGGTCCTTTGTCATAATGTATAAGGAGAAAATCATCCTGTGAAACATTAAACAGAAACAAGCAATTAATAGAGGATCTCTCTAACTTCAAGAGAGAGCAGATTGTGGCAGCAAAGTAACAAATTATTAGAGAGGGAAGCAAATTTAAAGATCCTTGCAAAGCACTGAGTATGAAGAAAAAAGCTTCAGAGTGGGAAAACCATCTAAAATTGAATTTGCGTTATTGCATGGATCAGAGTAAAGCACTGTTGGAGCCTTTCAGCAAGACAACAACAGCTATAAGCGACACACGAAGAATTAATCTCTCTACTTTTATGTTTTTTAGATGTCCATGCATATCAAGTCAATATGGTACTCCCCCTTCCTTTTCCATATTTTATATCAGGCCATGTGCATTTCCTTGTCTAGCAAAGCAGCTGGGTCTCAAGTGCAGTGAAGAATCCTTTGTCCCGTTAGTTCTCAGGAGGCAAAAAGTCCAATTCACTAACCAGGGAATAAAGTGATAGGAAAAGGGAAATCATAAGGATAAAAACATTTTCAAACCTCATTGCCAAAAGTTAAGCACCGTAAGTAGTAGACTGGCTTTCTTGGGTGCCATGCACTCACAATTGGAGTCAATAAAATAGCTGATGATCATCCCTTTTGAAAACCAACCTTCTTATTTAAACAACAAAATAGGAGTTTAGGCAACAGAATCTGAAAATGCTGGCCACGCTAGGTATGGAACATGCAAAGAAGAGAGCTACTACTTGGATCCCAAGTCTCTCAAATGTGGCATTTATTTTGCAGGTGGGAGAGCAAACCAAGGCAGACATCTACACAGTACGATAGAAAAAGACACATCTGCTTCCAGATATGGAATGGACATACTTGAGTATAGCAACCAATGCAGGCACTGGGGACCTCTGCTTTTTAACTAAGAATGAGAATGTGCATGATTTAAACATATCATTAAGGCAGTAAACATGACAATTGCAGGATCTGGAACAGTAAGGGTACATTTTTGGAACTTGAAACATTTCCTTTGCCATTGTTAACTACGCTTTGCAATAAAAAGTTCCCTTGGCTACTGTGAAAAAACATTTGCAGCATATTGTATATACAGGCAGTCCCCGGGTTACGTACAAGATAGGGACTGTAGGTTTGTTCTTAAGTTGAATCTGTATGTAAGTCGGAACTGGCATCCAGATTCAGCCGCTGAATCTGGACACCAGTTCTGACTTACATACAGATTCAACTTAAGAACCCCAGGCGTCCCCACGTCAGCTGCTGCTGAAACTGATCAGCAGCTGATTCCAGGAACCCCGGGGCAGAGCAACTCTGCCTCGGGCTT